ATGGGTCATTCTCATATTAAGGGTGACTACCGATGGATTATGGATAAGTGTCAAATTCACTCTCTTATTATCCGTTGGAAAATTTCTGATGCCTGTGTTCTTCATGACATTATTAATGGACATATTGACAATCCAAGTCTGTTGAACAGATTGTCTTTTCTTATCCCTGCAGTTGACAGTCGTACAACAAGAAGTCGAAACATATTTAGAATATCAACATCAACAACACTTTTGGCTCAAAATCATCCGTTAAGAAGAATGATGGAAGAAGCTAATGAATATTCCTGCCGCATTCGAATCTCAATCTTTGATTCTAGTAGGCTGAAATTTAAAAATGATGTGTCGGTTTATTATTATTATAATATGTAATCTTATTTAGTTTAATTTTCAACTTTTTATTTGTTTAATTTGTATTAATATTGTACTGTATCGTGGAATCAAGAAACACTGTTTTTTTTTTCCTTTATTTGTAAAGTGGAGTTATATTCCGTAAATAAATTATTATTATTATTATTATTATTTTTACAAGGAAATGTGGATTTGTCAGTTATGGGGCGGAGCCTAATTGCAAAATCTATATTTCCTTATACCAACTTTCCATTTTAAAGGTGTTTTAAGTTTCATGTTGTGAAAAAAAGTCTACACATATTAAAACAAAAAGACAAAATGTAAGCCCGCCCACCCGCCCTGTCTCTATTGTGATGATTTTTTTTATTCGCCGTGAACCAAGGGGGTGGAGTTTAACCGCAAAATTATTACTTTAGAACATATTTCGCATTCAATTTGTCGTAGAAAAATAAGGATTTTACAATTAAGCTCCGTCCCTCGCCTTACGACGAATAAAAAAAATCATCAGAATCGAGATAGGGCGGGTGGGCGGGGCTTATATTTTACCTCTGTTTTGCTTAATATATGTAGTCTTGTTTTCATGACAAGAAACTTAAAACAGTAATTTTTGTGGGGAAATACGAATTTTGCAATTATGCTCCGCCCCTCGGTCTGATAACGAATGAGAAATTCTAAATTCATCTCAATTGAGCTTGGAATGGAAATGGGCTGGGGTTAATTTTTGGCTTGTTTTTTTCTTGATAGACATAGGATTCTTTGAACAACACGATACTCAAAAACATGATTTTCATTTCATGTACATTTTCTCTTAAGATGTGTGATCATCTTTTCCAAATAAGAAACTTAAAACATGTTTAAAATGGTAAATTTGTGTAGGGAAATATCGATTTTGCAATTAAGCTCCGCCCCTCCGTCTGACAACGAATGAAAAATTCATCACAATTGAGATCGGGTGGGTGGGTGGGGCTTCTCTTTTGGTTTTCTTTTTTAATTAACACGATTACTTAAGAACATATTTCACAGGGTAAGTAGTTTCCAATTAAGCTCCGCCCCCCGGCTTACGACGAATAAAAAAAAATCATCAGAATTGAGATAGGGTGGGTGGGCGGGGCTTATATTTTTTACAACAAAAAACTTAAAACAGTTAAAATGGTACAATTTTGCAAGGAAATATGGATTTTGCAATTATGGGGCGGAGCCTAATTGCAAAATCGATATTTCCTTATACAAATTTTCCATTTTAAACATGTTTTAAGTTTCATGTTGGGAAAAGAAGTCTACACATATTAAAACAAAAAGGCAAAATGTAAGCCCGCCCACCCACCCTGTCTCTATTGTGATGATTTTTTTTATTCGTCGTGAAGCAAGAGGGAGAAGCTTAACTGCAAAATACGTATTTCTTTACAAGAAATTAAAAACATGTTTTTGAGTATCGGTAAATATAAACCCCGCCCACCCACCCTGTCTCAATTGTAAGGATTTTTTTAATCTTAGAAACGTAAAACACATTTAAAATGGTAAATTTTTGTAATAAAATATGGATTTTACAATTAGGCTCCGCCCCTATATCTGGCAACGAATGAAAACTTCATTATTATATATTTATAGTTTTCTTTGAAAAATACAATTACTTAAGAACTTGTTTCACATGGTAATACCTTGAGAGAAATCAGGTTTGGCAATTAAGCTCCGCCTCCCGGCTCATGACGAATAGAAAATGTATAACAACTGTGACAGGGTGGGTGGGCGGGGTTTATATTTTTTCTCTGTTTTCCTTAATATACGTAGTCTTCTTTTCATAAGAAGAAACTTAAAATGCGTCTAAAACGGCACATTCTTGTGAGAAAATATAGATTTTGCAATTCTGCCTCATCCCTCGGTCTGACAACGAATGAAAAATTCATCCCAATTGAGATCGGGGCGGGTATAGGTGTGGCTTAATCTTTGACGTTTAGTTTCTATATATATATTTTTTTTACTTTTTTTCTTTGAACACGATTTTTAAAGACATATTTCATAATGTATTTAATTTCTTGTAGAGAAATAAGGATTCTGTAATTAAGCTCCTCCCTCCCGACGCACGACGAATAGAAAAATTCATCACAATTGAGACAGGGTGGGTGGGCGGGGCTTATACTTTGCCTCTGTTTTTCTTAATATACATAGTTTTCTTTTCATGACAAGAAACTCAAAATATGTTTAAAACACTAAATTTTTGTAGGGAAATTGAATGTTTCAATTATGCCCCACCTCTCGGTTTGTCAACAAATGACAATTTCAACACAACTGAGATCGGGACGAATGGGTGGTCCTTAAACTTTGACTTTTATTTTTTAAACATATAGGTATAGTTTCCTTGGAACACCATGATACTTAAAAACACGTTTCACAGGATAATTTTTTCCAAAGAAATAAAGATTTTGTAGTTAAACTCCGCCCGCCCGACGCACGACGAATAGAAAAATTCATCACAATTGAGACAGGGTGGGTGGGCGGGGCTTATATTTTGCCTCTGTCTTTGCTTTATATAAATAATCATCTTTTCACAACAAGAAAATCAAAACATGTTTAAAATGGTAATTTTTTTAGGGAAATTGATTTTTGCAATTATGCTCCGCCTCTCGGTTTGCCAACAAATGACAAATTCATTACAATCGAGATCGGGGCGGTTATAGGTGGGGTTTAATCTTACACCTTTAGTTTCTAAATATTTATTTAGTTCCTTTTGAACACGATTTTTAAAAATAAATTTCACATTGTAGAGAAATAAGGATTCTGTAATTAAACTCCGCCCTCTCGACGCACGACGAATAGAAAAATTCATCACAATTGAGACAGGGTGGGTGGGCGGGGCTTATATTTTGCCTCTGTTTTTCTTAATATACACAGTCTTCTTTTCATAACAAGAAACTCAAAACATGTTTACAACACTAAATTTTGTAGGGAAATTGAATTTTGCAATTCTGCTCCGCCCTTCGCCTTGCCAACGAATGAAAAATTCATCACAATTGAGGTAGGGGCGGGTATAGGTGGGGCTTAATCTTACACCTTTAGTTTCTAAATATATATTTAGTTCCTTTTGAACACGATTCTTAAAAACATATTTCACATTGTAGAGAAATAAGGATTCTGTAAAATTAAGCTCCGCCCTCCCGACGCACGACGAATAGAAAAATTCATCACAATTGAGACAGGGTGAGTGGGCGGGGCTTATACTTTGCCTCTGTGTTTCTTAACATACATAGTTTTCTTTTCATGACAAGAAACTCAATACATGTTTAAAATGGTAAACTTTTGTAGGAAAATTGATTTTTGTAATTATGCCCCACCCCTCGGTTTGTCAGCAAATGACAATTTCAATACAATTGAGATCGGGGCGAATGGGTGGTCCTTAAACTTTGACTTTTATTTTCTAAACATATACGTATAGTTTCCTTTGAACAACACGATACTTAAAAACATGTTTCACAGGATAATTTTTTCCAAAGAAATAAAGATTTTGTAGTTAAACTCCGCCCGCCCGACGCACGACTAATAGAAAAATTCATCACAATTGAGACAGGGTGGGTGGGCGGGGCTTATATTTTCCTCTGTTTTTTGTTTAATAATCATCTTTTCACAACAAGAAACTCAAAATATATTTAAAAAGGTAAATTTTTATAGGGAAATTGATTTTTGCAATTATGCTCCGCCTCACGGTTTGGCAACAAATGACAAATTCATTACAATTTAAAAACATATGCACAGGATAAATTTCTGTAGAGAATAAAGATTTTGCAGTTAAACTCCGCCCCTTGACTCACCACGAATAGAAAAAATGATCACATTAGAGATAGGGTGGGTGGGTGGGGTTTAATATTTTGTCTCTGATTTGCTTAATATACGCAGTTCTTTTTTTACAAGAAGAAACTTAAAACATGTTTAAAGTGGTAAAGCAAAAAGCAATCTGACCTGACCGAACCTGACCTGATAAGCACGTCAGATCATCGTTCTGAGTGTGAAGAAAGTATTGCATAAATTATCTAACATTTTTATTTATGCTGTTATCACTAAAATTAAATTCCTTTGGTGTCGTGGATTATAATCATCAGTGTAAAAAGATCTACAGCTGAAGTATCTATTAAGTACTTAAAAAAATAGCGTCATGACTCAAAACAATTACTCGTATTAATTATTATTAACTGATAACATTCGTGGTCACGCTGATTCATTTTCAAATAAAAAAATACAATGATGCGCAAGTTGCCGGCATCCAATGTCCGGATGGTCATTGCGGTACATCGTGTTAGTCATGCCATGAATTCGCCCCGTCATTTGTAATGTAAATAACAGTTACAATCACAACTGATATTTCTATCGTAAACTTTCATAACGAAGTTTCTGGGTGATGCAGCCGTCGTCCGTTTTCTCCTGATTAAATTTGAAAGTTCTTCGCTTCGAAAGCAGCACTATCCTTTCGCCTACGTTATAATTAAAATAAACTTCGCCCAAACATGCTGTCATCCTCAAAATAAAATCTTCGCACAAACAATCCCCAGCTCACAAAATAAACATCTCCGGCCCCATATGGCTTCCTTACGTCTATTATTGAACTTGTTCGTGAACCGGCAGCCGATAAGTCCGCGCCTCCTTATCACTACCTCGTAGCCCCTCCAGGTACTTTTCCCGGTGCACTCATTACCATTCGAACGTGAAACCCCAAGGCCGCGACCAAATAATTGCCGATTTCTGGTGATCCAAGCGGCAAACGCTGATGTAACCTGTACCAGGCCGCGTTTTCACTGCGATTGGTGTATCGGATCCGAATAGTAAGTGGGTGAAGTAAAGCGTGTTCCAGTTTTAACAATGCTCGCATATCATAGGTGAAAAGATAAGTATGGCCACGTCTGCGGATTGTGTTGTGTTGTTGACACGATAATGTTATCAGTTGATCCGGAATCATTTGCTGAGGCACCCTAAACCGATCCACGTAAAAACTATCAGACGCGTTCGTACCTCTGACTCGCTACAAGCGAAGAAAATTCGTGGCACGTGTTTGAATTACAAGAAACCTGAAGATGAATCTCAACTGGAGCAACCGGGTCATCAAGTATGTGCTGTTCGTCTTCAACTTGCTGTTCGTGGTGAGTCTGAGTTTTCGGGGTTGGGGGATTTAAGTGAGGTATGTCGGAAATGAGGCGCAGTAGAGATAAGATAGCGACGACAATAACACCTGCGAATGAGCTGGCAACTATTGGATAGCGGCGATAACTTAAGTCATAGCTTGAGCTTGAAATACAAGCGGGATGCAGGATTACGCTTGTTTACTTAACTAATCGCTACTAATCCAACCTTTACCAAGGTGAAAATGAACCCATATGTAAGAATTCGCGTAAACAATGATGACCGCCAAATCAGAAACAGGTGATTCCCGTAATCGTCTTAGACAATTTTTGGCAACCCTGTATTTACTATCTTTAACACTCTTTTCCATTTCAGATCACCGGGATTGTTATGATAGCAGTCGGGGTGTCGGTGAAGTCCTACTACACAGACTATGACATCTTCTTGAACGACAGCTACTTTTCCTTGCCGAACTTACTCATAGCCATCGGTTCCCTAATCTTCTTCATTTCGTTCTTTGGATGCTGTGGCGCTATTCGCGAGAGCTGGTTTATGATATTTATCGTGAGTATTATTAATCGAAGCGACTGTATACAATCCCCTTTTATAGTTTTCCATTTTATTATCCGTCATTTTCATCATGGAATTCTCCGCTGGAATTGCTGGCTACGTGTTGAGAGATAAAACCATCGATTTCTTAACCGAGGAACTACAACAAAGCACGCAAGATTACGAGTTTAATAACCCCAAACCAAACCCCCAGACGTACATGTGGGACAAAATCCAGTCCCAAGTAAGTATCGTCCTCACTAACGACTTTAAGCCACGTTTAAGAAAATTTTAGTTCAAGTGTTGTGGTGCAGCTGGACCTAAGGACTGGATAGATAAAGGTAATACTACAACATCCGCACCTATTACTACAGCAAGTTCACCTGCAACTACAGTGACTACAACCTCTACAAATAACTCGGCAACAACGCCAACAACAACTAATTCAAGTGTTACAACAACAGTTCCATCAGTATCACCAGACAGCACAACACCTACAACACCCACAGCGTTAAGATTACTAAGTCCAAGGAATAAGGGCGACCTGCCCTCAAGCTGTTGCGTAAGCAAACCTGGAACAGCAGGAACAATCACCTGCAACATAGACAACACCGACACCGCTACATATTTCAAAATAGGATGTGTAGAAGGTTTCGGTGACTACTTGAAGGACCACGCTGTCACAATAGGAGGAGTCGGACTAGCCATAGCTTTCATCCAGGTACTTACCCAACACCACTTAATTCGCTCTAAACGTATTATTTTTAGCTCTTCGGTGTAATCTTCGCCTGCCATTTATCCAAGCAGCTGAAACACGGCTTCCACAGTACGTAAAAGTATGCATCTGACTCTATTTGTATCAAAATATCTTACATGTACATAGTTTCTTATGTTTATGTTATTAAATGTGTTGTTACATTCCTTTAAAATTGTTTTATTAATTACACAGTTACATACAAATATCGTATTAAACAAAGTCGTGATCAACGGTAGATTTTGTTATTAAATTCAACGCGCGGTGGTTGGCTTCATCCACTAGAGTTCTTCGTGATTGATCTTCGTCAGACAGAGTTATCTTCATGTATTCCTCCAGATCTATGCTTTGTATCATTTTAGCAGCCCCTGGTTGCACGTCTCGCGTGTCTGTTTTAGCCACTTCGTGCACCGCCTTCTCAAACGAACGAAAAATGTCGCTGAAACAACGATCATTGGCGCCACTTTTCAAATTCCAGCCAATCACAACCGGCGACGTGTACAGTTCGCATTGACCGGAATTTGAAAACCGGCGCCTAAACAATGACTACAAAGCAGCCCCGTAGCTAGAAAACTTATTCAGGGGGGGCAAGTTTGTCAACAGAGGGGGCTTCATGTAAATATTTATATTTTAATAATACACTCAGATAACTACTTTATTTTTTCTGAGTTTTTATATTTGAAAGAACATTAAAATAATTGGAAACGTCGATTTTTCACGCTAAATTTTCGTAAAAACCTGTCGAAGTCCAAAAAATTAGTACGGTACTTGGTTAAAATGCTGGTTAAAACAGAGAATGTAGATTCACAAACAGCTGTACTGCATCCAAAAATTTGTGTAGTGACCATATAGGTAACATCCAATTTGTTTGAGTTTATTTTTTTGCATGTTTAGTACATATTTTAAAAATCCGACTTCGAAACCAAATATTTCGAAAATTTTGGTACGGAACCATGAACTCGTCATGTTTTTTTAAACTCATCGAGATGTGTATTTCAGAATTTTTTGTCAACTTTAACAAAAGCTCAATTTTTGGAAACCCATATAAAATTTTTGACTTTTCCCAAGCATTTTCGAAAATTACCAAAAGAATTCCTTTGTTCATCTCGATTTCTTCCAAAAATCGTTTTGGATTCAATTTTTTTGAAAATTCTTACATTTTTTGCAGAATCGACGAAAGAAAAATGGCAATTTTTGAGAACCTGTATCAAATTTTTGACTTTTTTCAAGCACATTCGAAATTACCAAAAGGGATTCCTTTATTGATTTCGATCTCCAGATGTTGTTTTTGGTTGTTTTTTCGAAAATTCGTACAATTTTTCCATAATCGCCAAAAGAAATATGGTAATTTTTGAGAAATTTTGAAAATTCCAGCTCGAAACCGAGTATTTCGAAAATTTTGATCCGGAACCATGAACCTGTCATGTTTTTTTAAGCTCGTCGAAATCTATATTTCAGAATTTTTTGTCAACTTTTACGAAAGTTCAATTTTTGAAAACCCATATAAAATTTTTGGCTTTTCCCAAGCATTTTCGAAAATTACCAAAAGAGATTCCTTTGTTCATCTCGATTTCCAGATATCGTTTTGGATTCAATTTTTTTGAAAATTCTAACTTTTTTTCCAGAATCGACGGGAGAAATATGGCAATTTTTGAGAACCTGTATCAAATTTTTGACTTTTTTCAAGCACATTCGAAATTACCAAAAGGGATTCCTTTATTGATTTCGATCTCCAGATGTTGTTTTTAGTTGTTTTTTCGAAAATTCGTACAATTTTTCCATAATCGCCAAAAGAAATATGGTAATTTTTGAGAAATTTTGAAAATTCCAGCTCGAAACCGAGTATTTCGAAAATTTTGATCCGGAACCTTGAACCTGTCATGTTTTTTTAAGCTCGTCGAAATCTATATTTCAGAATTTTTTGTCAACTTTTACGAAAGTTCAATTTTTGAAAACCCATATAAAATTTTTGGCTTTTCCCAAGCATTTTCGAAAATTACCAAAAGAGATTCCTTTGTTCATCTCGATTTCCAGATATCGTTTTGGATTCAATTTTTTTGAAAATTCTAACTTTTTTTCCAGAATCGACGGGAGAAATATGGCAATTTTTGAGAACCTGTATCAAATTTTTGACTTTTTTCAAGCACATTCGAAATTACCAAAAGGGATTCCTTTATTGATTTCGATCTCCAGATGTTGTTTTTGGTTGTTTTTTCGAAAATTCGTACAATTTTTCCATAATCGCCAAAAGAAATATGGTAATTTTTTAGAAATTTTGAAAATTCCAGCTCGAAACCGAGTATTTCGAAAATTTTGATCCGGAACCTTGAACCTGTCATGTTTTTTTAAGCTCGTCGAAATCTATATTTCAGAATTTTTTGTCAACTTTTACGAAAGTTCAATTTTTGAAAACCCATATAAAATTTTTGGCTTTTCCCAAGCATTTTCGAAAATTACCAAAAGAGATTCCTTTGTTCATCTCGATTTCCAGATATCGTTTTGGATTCAATTTTTTTGAAAATTCTAACTTTTTTTCCAGAATCGACGGGAGAAATATGGCAATTTTTGAGAACCTGTATCAAATTTTTGACTTTTTTCAAGCACATTCGAAATTACCAAAAGGGATTCCTTTATTGATTTCGATCTCCAGATGTTGTTTTTGGTTGTTTTTTCGAAAATTCGTACAATTTTTCCATAATCGCCAAAAGAAATATGGTAATTTTTGAGAAATTTTGAAAATTCCAGCTCGAAACCGAGTATTTCGAAAATTTTGATCCGGAACCTTGAACCTGTCATGTTTTTTTAAGCTCGTCGAAATCTACATTTCAGAATTTTTTGTCAACTTTTACGAAAGTTCAATTTTTGAAAACCCATATAAAATTTTTGGCTTTTCCCAAGCATTTTCGAAAATTACCAAAAGAGATTCCTTTGTTCATCTCGATTTCCAGATATCGTTTTGGATTCAATTTTTTTGAAAATTCTAACTTTTTTTCCAGAATCGACGGGAGAAATATGGCAATTTTTGAGAACCTGTGTCAAATTTTTGACTTTTTTTCAAGCACGTTCGAGATTACCAAAAGGGATTCCTTCATTGATTTCGATCTCCAGATGTTGTTTTTGGTTGTTTTTTCGAAAATGCGTACAATTTTTCCACAATCGCCAAAAGAAATATGGTAATTTTTGAGAAATTTTGAAAATTCGAGCTCGAAACCGAGTATTTCGAAAATTTTGATCCGGAACCATGAACCTGTCATGTTTTTTTAAGCTCGTCCAAATCTATATTTCAGAATTTTTTGTCAACTTTTACGAAAGTTCAATTTTTGAAAACCCATATAAAATTTTTGACTTTTCCCAAGCATTTTCAAAAATTATCAAAAGAGACTCCTTTGTTCATCTCGATTTCCAAAAATCGTTTTGGACTCAATTTTTTTGAAAATTCTTACAATTTTTCCAGAATCGACGGAAGAAATATGGCAATTTTTGAGAACCTGTATCAAATTTTTGACTTTTTTTTAAGCACGTTCGAGATTACCAAAAGGGATTCCTTTATTGATTTCGATCTCCAGATGTTGTTTTTGGTTATTTTTTCGAAAATTCGTACAATTTTTCCACAATCGCCAAAAGAAATATGGTAATTTTTGAGAAATTTTGAAAATTCGAGCTCGAAACCGAGAATTTCGAAAATTTTGATCCGGAACCATGAACTTGTCATGTTTTTTTAAGCTCGTCCAAATCTATATTTCAGAATTTTTTGTCAACTTTTACGAAAGTTCAATTTTTGAGAACCCATATAAAATTTTTGGCTTTTCCCAAGCATTTTCGAAAATTACCAAAAGAGATTCCTTTGTTCATCTCGATTTCCAGATATCGTTTTGGATTCAATTTTTTTGAAAATTCTAACTTTTTTTCCAGAATCGACGGGAGAAATATGGCAATTTTTGAGAACCTGTATCAAATTTTTGACTTTTTTCAAGCACATTCGAAATTACCAAAAGGGATTCCTTTATTGATTTCGATCTCCAGATGTTGTTTTTGGTTTTATTTGGTTGAAAAGTCGTAAAATTTTTCAGCAATCGCCAAACGAAATATAATTTTTGAACTTTGAAACCGAATGTTTCGAAAATCTTGATCTGGGACCATCTAGACCTTGTGTTTTTTGATTGAGATCAACACTTCAGATTTTTTTGTGGATTTTTAGTCAACTTCAACAAAAGCTAAATTTTTGAAAATCTATAAAATGTTTATGACTTTTCCCAACCGTTTTCGAAAATTAGCAAAAGGGATCTCTTTATCGATTTCGATCTCCAAATGTTGTTTTTGGTTTTATTTTCTCGAAAATTTGTACAATTTTTCCAAAGCCGCCAAAAGAAATGTAATTTTTGAGAAAATTTGAAATGTCGACTTTGAAACCGAATTTTTCGAAAATCTTGGTCTGGGACCATCAAGACCTTATGTTTTTGGATTAAGCTCATCGAGATCTACATCTCGGAATTTTTTGTTGATTTTTTGTTAATTTCAACAAAAGCTCAATTTTTGAAAATCCATATACATTTTTTGACTTTTCCCAAGCATCTTCGAAAATTAGCAAAAGGGATCTCTTTATTGATTTCGATCTACAGATGTTATTTTTGGTTTTATTTTTTTGATATTTCGTCGAATTTTTCCACAATCGCATAAAGAAATAACTTTTTTTTAAGTCACTTTTGAGATTTTTTAGAAATTTTAGGTAGAACCCAATATTTCGTAAATTTTGCTCCGGGAGCATGAACATGTTTTTCGATTAAGCTTATCGAGATCTATATTTCAGAATTTTTTGTCAACTCTAACAAAAGCTCAATTTTTGAAAACTAAATAAATTTTGACTTTTCTTAGCATTTCCAAAAATTACCGAAAGTCATTCTTTTATTTATTTCAATCTTCAGATGTTGTTTTTGGTTTTATTTGATCGAAAATTTGTAAAATTTTTCTAGAATCGTCAAAAGAAATAGGAGTATAATTTTTGAGAAATTTTAAAAATTCGACTTGGAAACCGAATAGCAGCAAGACCTTATGTTTTTTGACTAAACTCGTCGAGATCTACATCTCAGAATTTTTTGTAGATTTTCAGCCAATTTCAACAAAAGCTCAATTTTTGAAAATCTATAAAAAAATTTGACTTTTCCCACGCATTTTCGAAAACTAGCAGAAGGGATCTTTTTATTGATTTCGATCTCCAAATGTTTTTTTTTTTGGTTTTATTTTTTCGAAAATTCGTACAATTTTTCCAGAGCCGCCAAAAGAAATGTAATTTTTCAGAAATTTTGAAATGTCGACTTTGGAACCGAATTTTTGAAAAATCTTGGTCTGGGACCATCAAGACCTTATGTTTTTTGATTAAGCTCATCGAGATCTACATCTCAGAATTTTTTGTCTATTTTTTGTCCATTTCAATAAAAGCTCAATTTTTAGAAAATTCATATAATATTTTTGACTTTTCTCAAGGCTATGGAATAAAATGTGACATGTTCATGTTTTTATACGGTCAACATCAATGGTAAGGTGATATTGCCAAATAATATACCCTGTACGAAAATAAAGGTGGGGCGGGTGGGGCCAGTTAATATGCTTCGGCAATCGGCATTATATTGAAATTTTATTACTAATTTGAAATTTATAATGTATAAGTCTTCCAGGGGGGGCAACCACAACTGCTAGGGGGGGCTCGGCCCCCTCTTGCCACCCCCCCCCCGTAGCTCCGGGGTTGCTACAAAGATCGACAAAGCCCGATCTAACTAGTTGTTATTGTTCTTCGGTGAGCTTACCTGATTACACGATTATCGTCCATTGTATGATAAAACGATTTAACGTAAAATAAATTACTAAAAACGTGCGACAACTTAGATTTGATTATAACGACCATCAATACCGGCAAAATGTCTCTGTTGTCAATCACAGGAATTTCATTCTCTTTTTCTAGAACAAACTGACTATTATTAAATACAAAAAAAAAAAAAATACGAATTCGTTGTACCAGAATTCTGCGAAATCACCGCTACCATCGCCGTTTTAATTTCAGCAAAAACCAAGTCGTACGTGGTACACAAACAATTCATTTTTTCACCAGGGGTTTTGTAATTATCCAGCACCGACAATTCCACAATCTACAAAACTCATTCACTGTCAGAAACTAAGTTGTGAAAAGAAGTCTACACATATTAAAACAAAAAGGCAAAAGTTAGCCCGCCCACCCGCCCTATCTCTATTGTGGTGATTTTTTTTTTCGTCGTGAAGCAAGAGGGCGAAGCTTAACTGCAAAATACTTATTTCTTCACAAGAAATTAAAACCATGTTTTTGAGTATCGGGTTGTTCAAAGAATATCATGTGTATTAAGAAAAAAAACAAAACATAAACCCCGCCCACCCACCCTGTTTCAATTGTAAGGATTTTTTTAGTTTTAGAAACGTAAAACACATTTAAAATGGTAAATTTTTGTAATAAAATATGGATTTTACAATTAGGCTTCGCCCCTATATCTGGCAACGAATGAAAACTTCATTATTACATATCTAGAGTTTTCTTTGAACAATACAATTAGTTAAGAACTTGTTTCACATGGTAATTCCTGGAGAGAACTCAGGTTTGGGAATTAAGCTCCGCCTCCCGGCTCATGACGAATAGAAAATATATAACAACTGTGACAGGGTGGGTGGGCGGGGCTTATATTTTTTCTCCGTTTTTCTTATTATACATAGTCTTTTTTGCATAAGAAGAAACTTAAAACACTTTTAAAACAGTACATTTTTGTGGGAAAATATAGATTTTACGATTCTGCCCCATCCCTCGGTCTGACAACGAAGGAAAAATTCATCCCAATTGAGATCGGGGCGGGTATAGGTGTGGCTTAATCTTTGACATTTAGTTTCTATATATATATATATATATATTTTTTTTTTACTTTTTTTCTTTGAACACGATTTTTAAAGACATATTTCACATTGTATTTAATTTCTTGTAGACAAATAAGGATTCTGTAATTAAGCTCCGACGCACGACGAATAGAAAAATTCATCACAATTGAGACAAGGTGGGTGGGCGGGGCTTATACTTTGCCTCTGTTTTTCTTAACATACATAGTTTTCTTTTCATGACAAGAAACTCAAAATATGTTTAAAACACTAAATTTTTGTAGGGAAATTGAATGTTTCAATTATGCCCCACCCCTCGGTTTGTCAACAAATGACAATTTCAACACAATTGAGATCGGGGCGAATGGGTGGTCCTTAAACTTGGACTTTTATTTTCTCAACTTATACGTATAGTTTCCTTTGAACAACACGATACTTAAAAACATGTTTCACAGGATAATTTCTTCTAGAGAAATTAGGATTTTGTAGTTAAGCTCCTCCCGCCCGACGCACGACGAATAGAAAAATTCATCACAATTGAGACAGGGTGGGTGGGCGGGGCTTATATTTTGCCTCTGTCTTTGCTTTATATAAATAATCATCTTTTCACAACAAGAAACTGAAAACATGTTTAAAATGGTAAATTTTTGTAGGGAAATTGATTTTTGTAATTATGCTCCGCCTCTCGGTTTGCCAACAAATGAGAAATTCATTACAATTGAGATCGGGGCGGGTATAGGTGGGGCTTAATCTTACACCTTTAGTTTCTAAATATATATTTAGTTCCTTTTGAACACGATTCTTAAAAATAAATTTCACAATGTAGAGAAATAAGGAATAGAAAAATTCATCGCAATTGAGACAGGGTGGGTGGGTGGGGCTTATACTTTGTCTCTGTTTTTCTTAACATACATAGTTTTCTTTTCATGACAAGAAACTCAAAATATGTTTAAAACACTAAATTTTTGTAGGGAAATTGAATTTTTCAATTAAGGTATGCCCCACCCCTCGGTTTGTCAACAAATGACAATTTCAACACTTAACACTTTAAATGTGTTGTTACATTCCTTTAAAATTGTTTTATTAGTTACACAGTTACATACAGAAAATATCGCATTAAACAGAGTCGTGATCAACGGTAGATTTCGTTATTAAATTCAACGCGCGGTGGTTGGCTTCATCCACTAGAGTTCTTCGTGATTGATCTTCGTCAGACAGAGTTATCTTCATGTATTCCTCCAGATCTATGCTTTGTATCATTTTAGCAGCCCCTGGTTGCACGTCTCGTGTGTCTGTTTTGGCCACTTCGTGCACCGCCTTCTCAAACGAACGAAAAATGTCACTGAAACAACGGTCATTGGCGCCACTTTTCAAATTCCAGCCAATCAGAACCGGCGACGTGTACGGTTCGCATTGACCGGAATTTGAAAACTGGCGCCTAAACAACGACTTAGTTGTTATTGTTTTTCGGTGAGCTTACCTGATTACGCGATTATCGTCCATTGTATGATAAAACGATTTTACGTAAAATAAATTACTAAAAACGTGCGACAACTTAGATTTGATTATGACGACCATCAATACCGGCAAAATGTCTCTGTTGTCAATCACGGGAATTTCATTTTCCTTTTCTACAACAAAAACGACTATTACTTATTATTAAATGCAAAAAGCGAATTCATACCAGAATTCTGCGAAATCACCGCTACCATCGCCGTTTTAATTTCGGCAAAAACCAAGTCGTACGTGGTACACAAACAATTCATTTTTTCACCAGGGGTTTTGTAATTATCCAGCACCGACAATTCCACAATCTACAAAACTCATTCACTGTCAGAAACTAAGTTGGGAAAAAATTACCGCTGCGGACAGCGGGATGCTGTAATTTTCATTGGCTCCGAACTGCTCCGCTGACACGTTGATCCCCAACAAAGTTCTACATTTTTCAAAAAAAGCTTTATCTTGGTCGGAAAACCGGGCTCTAATGTATGTCAAGCAAATGTCGTGGATTTGGTCGAACACCAACCTACAACACCAGTTAGCTTTAACAAACTAAGATTTCTGTGTTACCATTGTAATGCTTCGACTTTATTGTCGCTTTGATCGTCGTGAAAAATTTCCTTGCACAGGTCGTAAAATAAGTTTTTAATTGTGGCTACGGCTAAGCGGTCGCTCAATTCGGGGAAAACCCACGTGCTTAGTTGCGTTTCGATGAGATCTTTAATATCTTGGTTTTGGGTTGTCTTTATGAGGAGTTGTTCAGCGCTGGAAAGAGGCGATTATTTGGGTGAGTCGTATGCAAGAGGGCGTACAGGCGACAATCGTGTGTTTTTGGACCGTCATTTTTTGACATTCTCTGGTTTCGATTGATTGAAATACCACAGATTAATGTGATAATAAATAAGATAAAACAACACAAATAGAAATACAAGTGTAACAATAACACTAATTATTAAAGACATTTATGTGTTTTTGGACATTTCTAGAATTCTCATACTCACTGTTTTAGGTCCTTAATGTCCATGTTTTTTTGATTGAGTTTGTCACATTGTTTTATATGTTTACAACTAGTCAGGCGACCTTCACTCTTTATGTAAGCTTTATCTGATAACTAATGACGATAAATAGCTGCTCTATATTAAAATGTTTCAACAAACGCATCTGTAATGCAACTGAACTATATTATACGAGATACATTGCAAACAAATTTTTATAACATTAGTGAGTCACAAGATTTTTTCTATTTTAATAAAGTCGACTCGAGACTATAAGAAAATGTTTATTGTACAATATTATCTATGTGCGTCATATTGTTCCAACTTTCCGTGTTTCAACCAAACGATAAAGTTAGCATTTGCACAAAAACCTTCAAGTATTTTCACGACACCACGTCGAGGAGCGCCACATCTAAACAATAAAATTCGATACGGTTTCCTAGCAACCGGGCGCAACACTCGTAATACAAACATCCTCTTCAAACAGACAATTTTCATCTAATTAAGTGTTTTCAAAAAACAATATTTTTAGTTAGTAGTTTTGTAGTGAAAAAAAATGGACTGGAAAGAGACCGTGACGTCAGTGTCCGACAAAGTCTTCCCCGGACTTTCCCGGAAGGTCGATAATTTGGTTTATGGTAAAAAACGCCCCATTCGCTCCCCTTTTTTCCATAAAAAAAATATTTTCAGGCAACGAAGTTATGTCGAATTTGCCTCTGCAGATGTCGCTTTATTTCAACGTGATTTTCGCGCCGTTTTGGCTAACCATACTGATTTTGTATCTAAAACACACTGTAAGCGGGGGTTTGTGCCCATTTTGATTTGTCAGTCAGTTTGCTTGTTTCAGCGAAATTTACAAGTTTATTATAATCACGATCATCACCACGATCGTGTTAATCGAGTTGTTGAGACTCTACCTCGGCTACAAAGGAAACCTGGAAGACAAGGTGACTATAATCGTTATTGGAACGAGGCGGCAAAGCTAAAATAGTGGTTTCAGATTCCAGAGCTGGTCGGATTCTGGATGTTGTCGCTCCTGCTCCAGTTGCCGCTTCAAGGTTTACTATTATTTAACCCGAATTTCAAACTTCACGTGTTTGAAGTGATCGTGCAAAGTATAATGTTTTTGATGCTTTGCATCCAACTGATATTTAGCTACCGTGCGTTGAAATTTACAGCGGCACAACAAGCCACCTATTTCAGAATAATGAAGCTAAAGTCGGACGTGTCCATACAAGAACGCTACAGGGTGAATAAAAAATAAATACAATGTACTTTTATTTACAAAAAATAATAAAGAGGAATTCAAACTTGAGCCACCATCATGCAGTCGTGACGTAACGCGTTGTGACGTCACATGCGCCACTGAATTTAAACAAAATATGAATTTATGCACTATTAAATATTAAATTTGATTATAGTTGTTCATAATCTGCAACCACACGAGCAACAATTGTTAAAAAATCTGTAATTTTATTTATTAATTTAGAGTGCGAGTGTGGCGCCCTCTAGCCGGCGACAGTGACACGATTTAGCAACATCCACAAAAACCGCATTTTTATTGTTTGTGACGACGACACCAGTGTAATAAAAATGTGACCGTTTTAAACCAAGCGCATTATCGCTAATTCACGTGTAAAATGAATTTGAAATCGAAAAATGCGCATTTAGTTTAGCTGCGGTGGCGCCACCGCCACGTCAGTGGCGGCCGCCGCAACTCCAAATCGTTTCCTTTACGACCGACATACATCTTTTCGGTTTTGCGCTTTTTCTGGTTGCGATTGTGAGTGTGGTGTTGAATTTTGTGTTGAACCCGTCGAAACCGACGAAATAAGGTAAATACAGGCGAGTCCTGTGCCCGCGGTGAAATTCCCTTTTCGAAATGTGGGGAATTCCGCGTGAAACGGGACGAGTCGAGCGCAAACAAACATCGGTTGATTTTCTGTATTTTGGGGTTATCGTCGAGCCGAGCGCAGGGTGTTTGGTAGCTTAGGGCGAGCTTTGGCGGAATCTCGCCGAAAGCAGCCCCTGGGCCCGGTTTCGCCCCCCGCTTGGCGTTTGTTGTGATGTGCTGTCATGAAGGTTAGTTTTTGTTGACTTGAGCGATCGTTTGCTTCTAGCACGTAAATTTGATGGAATGACTGGTTGGGAAGTTTGCTGTTGACGGTCTGTACGAGAATAAGTGAGAAAATGGCAACTCTTGGACATCAGGCAGCTGCGGCTTTGCTTGATTTCACCCAGAAGCTCGACATAAATTTGCTTGATACGGTGGTTGGTAGCATGTATGAAGGGAACGGAGAGACGCAGAGGATCGCGCAGGAGGTGCTCACGACGCTGAAGGAACACCCGGATGCCTGGACGCGAGTGGACACGATTCTGGAGTTTTCCAATAACCAACAGACCAAATATTACGCCCTTCAGATACTCGAACAGGTTATAAAGACCAGGTGGAAAGTGCTGCCGCGGAATCAGTGCGAAGGCATCAAGAAGTACATCGTTTCGCTGATTATAAAGACCAGCTCGGACCCGGAAACGCTCGAAGCCAACAAAACCTATTTAAATAAATTAAATATGATTTTAGTACAAGTCTTGAAACGCGAGTGGCCTAAAAACTGGGAGAGCTTCATCCCGGATATCGTCGGCGCGAGCAAAACCAACGAGAGCTTGTGTCAGAATAACATGATCATTTTGAAACTGTTGAGCGAAGAGTTGTTTGATTTTTCGTCAGGGCAGATCACGCAGACCAAAGCGAAACACCTGAAGGACACAATGTGTCAGGAATTTTCGGCGATTTTCCACTTGTGTCAGTTCGTCTTGGAAAACTCGCAAAATCCGCCTTTGGTCAACGCCACCCTCGAGACTCTCCTGCGGTTTCTAAACTGGATTCCGCTGGGGTACATTTTCGAAACGAAATTAATAAACACGTTGATTTATAAGTTTCTAACTGTTCCTATGTTTCGAAATGTTACGCTTAAATGTCTAACTGAAATAGCAGGGGTTACCGTTAGTAATTACGACGATATTTTTCTCACTATGTTTACGCAGACGATGGCTCAGTTGGAAATTATGTTGCCGCTGAGCACCGACATCAAATCAGCGTACGCCGGGGGCCAAGACCAAGAACAGAACTTCATCCAGAATCTCGCTCTGTTCCTGTGCACGTTTCTCAAGTCGCACGGGAACCTAGCGGAAACCGCGGGTCAAGTGGAAGCCCTAAAGTACGCCCTACGCTACCTAGTTTTAATATCAGAAGTAGAGGAAGTCGAAATTTTTAAAATCTGTCTCGAGTATTGGAACACTCTCGCGTCGGAGCTATACCGAGACGTCCCCTTCTCCGGTTCTTCTCCGATTTTTTTCGGAACCCGGCGGGCGCTCTACCAAGAAGTATTGAACAAAGTCCGGTATATAATGATTTCGCGAATGGCTAAACCCGAAGAAGTACTAGTCGTCGAAACCGACAACGGCGAAGTCGTCCGAGAGTTCATGAAAGACACCGACTCGATAAACCTCTACAAAAACATGAGAGAAACCCTGGTATACCTGACTCATCTCGACTACGCCGACACGGAACGGATAATGACGGTCAAACTCCAGAACCAAGTCAACGGAAGCGAGTGGTCCTGGAAGAACCTCAACACCCTATGTTGGGCTATTGGTAGCATATCGGGAGCGATGCACGAAGAAGACGAAAAGCGTTTTCTCGTCACCGTGATCAAAGACTTGCTGGGTTTGTGCGAGCAGAAACGAGGCAAAGACAACAAAGCTATCATAGCTTCCAATATAATGTACGTGGTGGGCCAGTACCCGAGGTTTCTGAGGGCGCACTGGAAATTTTTAAAGACTGTCGTTAATAAACTGTTCGAGTTCATGCACGAAACGCACGACGGGGTTCAGGATATGGCTTGTGATACGTTCATCAAGATCGCGTTGAAGTGCAGACGACACTTCGTCACGACGCAAATCGGCGAATCGTGCCCTTTTATCGAGGATATATTGAGTTCAGTTTCGACTATTATATGCGATTTGCAGCAGCAGCAGGTTCATACGTTTTATGAAGCTGTGGGGTACATGATTTCGGCGCAGCTGGACACTGCGACGCAGGAGGCGCTAATCGAAAAGTACATGATGCTTCCTAATCAGGTTCGTTAGGTGGGTGGGCGGTATAGAAGAGTTTTATTATTTCTGTATTTGTTGCAGGTTTGGGATGATATTATTAGTCAAGCCAGTAAGAATGTGGATATATTGAAAGAAATCGATGTTGTTAAACAATTAGCTAGTATTTTAAAGACAAATGTTAGGGCCTGCAAAGCTTTAAACCATGCGTATGTGCTGCAGTTAGGGCGAATATATTTGGATATGCTTAACGTGTATAAGGTAAGTTTCGTGTTTTTTTTTTTTTTTTTTTTGATATTGTAGATACAATTTTTGTGGTTCAAATCAATAAATGTACACATTATTTACGATGAAATGTCTGTGCATTCATTGGAAAATGCGTCGGATTTTTGTTGCGTATTGTTTTTAAACAGAGATAGTGAATAATTATGAACTTCATTCCTGTTCCGTTCTGTAATGGATAATAATAGGTAATGACCTTTAATGAAGGCAATTATAATATCATTAACGTTTCGCTATCGATAAATCGATGCTTGTTATTGTCGGTTTTGAAAGATTTTCTAGAATATTTTTACTAAAATTATGAACACCATTTTATAGGATTTTAAGTGACGTCATCAATTTTCTAGGTGGGGATAAGTGAATGTGGCGTCACAATTACATATTTATTTTTCGTCAAAATTTTTGATAATTATAAAAGAATGTTGTAAATCGTTTTTATCGTGGCTATGATATAAAAAATTAACAGAGATAACAGATTTTGTGTGTCGTTTGGAATTCCCCACAATACTTGGAAAACCGGAGTATCGACTCACTTAAGAGAACTTCACGTTGTTGGGCTATTATAAGTTATATATTTGGCATGCATTCAAATGTTTTTTTTTTTCGACAAAATCTTATCTTTATAAATGTAAAATTAATGTCTCCGTTAAAAAAATTGGTCGACAGTTGAACAACTTCCAGCATTTTCGAAAAATTATAAAATTTGATTTTGCGGATTTCTTATGAGAACTCCTGTAATTTGAAATAAACATGTAAATATGTAAGTAAGTTTTTATTTTGCAAAATTTTGTGATGACGACGTCAATCAAGATTTTTGTGGCATCTGAGCGATATGCGAGTGTTTAAAATGTGGATGTTTATACATCGGAAGAATGTCACGTAGATATTTGTCTCATTTGACTGAGTTTGTCGCCTCAAAAGAAAAATTTATCGTGTGTATCATAACTTTAAAACATTTGCAAGATTTCAAAGTGTTATAATGTTTTATAATTTTGATTTTTTTTTCCAAAAATCTGGACGTTTCGGGTAAAAACACAACACGAATTCGTAAACTACATGTGTTTTGTGTTTTATGTTGTTTTATACAATTTAAAACCCATTTACTTTTAACTTTGAAACTGTTAAACCGAATCATGTAAAATCTTATAAGCCTCTTTTTCCCGAAAATTTGAGTATACAATACTGTTATTATTGATATTGATTGATATATGTGTCTTTGATAAAATGTTGATGTCATCACAAAATTTTCTTACGAAAAACTCACTTGAAACCCAGGCATAGCATGCTCCTCCACCTATACTTTAATAGTAGTATATGTCTTTGTTCTAACTTATAGGGGTTATAATATTAAAAAAGAATTGGTCGAAAGTTGTTTCGACAGAACTTCCCTCCAAAATTTACAGTATGAAATATGTATAACATTTTTTTAGAATTTCAATATTTACAACGAATAACATCATTACATTTGAGATGGCGGTGGGTAGGCGGAGCTTAAATTTTGCCTTCTTTCTGGATATACGCAACAATCTTTTCATAATGGTATATTTAAAACGTTTAAAATGCTAAATTTTTGTCGGGAGACATCGATTTTATAGTTAAGCTCCGCCCCTCGGTCTGACAACGAATAAAAACTTTACCACAGTTGAGATGAGGGCGGGTGGGCGGGGTTTGTATTTTCCTTTTCTTTCTTATATGTGTACGTACTTTTCTTTACACAACAAAAAACTGAAAACATGTTTAAAATAGTAAATTTGTAGAGAAGTGTTTGGTAGAAAATTTACCATTTTAAACATGTTTTCACTTTCTTGTTAAGAAGAAAAAACAATATATTTTAAGAAGAAAAAATACAAAATATAAGCCCCACCCACCCACCCTGTCTCAATTGTGACGCTTTTTCTTTGTTCGTCGTTAGTCTAGAGGGGCGGAGCTTAATTGCAGAGTCCGTATGTTTCTAAAAAAATTTCTAAAATGTACTTCAGTGATGGATTTTTGAATATCATGTTATTCAAAGAATACTATGTATATTAAGAAAAATGAAAGCCACAGATTAAGCCCCACCCATACCTGCCCTGATCTAAATAGTAATGAATTTTTCATTCGTTGGCAGACCTAGGGGCGGAGCCTAATTGCCAAATCCATGTTTCCTTACAAAAATTTGCCATTTTAAACGTGTTTTACGTTTCTAAGAATAAAAAAAATCATCACAATCGAGATGGGGTGGGCGGGCGGGGTTTATATTTTACCTATTTTTCTTAATATACATAGTATTTTTTGAATAACCCGGTTCTCAAAAACATGTTTTTAATTTCTTGTACAGAAATAAGTAATTTGCAGTTAAGCTCCGCCCTCTTGGTTCACGGGGAATAAAAAAAATCATCACAATGGAGACAGGGCGGGTGGGCGGGCTGACATTTTGCCTTACTGTTTTAATATGTGTAGACGTCTTTTCAAAATATGAAACTTAAAACATGTTTAAAATGGAAAATTTGTATAAGGAAATATCGATTTTGCAATTACCATTTTAAACATGTTTTCAGTTTCTTGTTATGGAGAAAAAACAACATACTATGAAGAAAAACAAAATGCAAAACATAAGCCCCACCCACCCACCCTATTTCAATTGTGACGCTTTTTCTTTGTTCCTCGTTAGTCAAGAGGGGCGGAGCTTAATTTCAGAATCCGTATTTTTCTAAAAGAATTACATTAAGAAAAATTAAAGCCAAAGATTAAGCACCACCCATATCTGCCCTGACTTAAATAGTAATGAAATTCTCATTCGTTGGCAGACCAAGGGGCGGGGCCTAATTTCAAAATCCACATTTCCTCACAAAAATTTACCATTTTAAACGTGTTTTAAGTTTCTAAGAATAAAAAAAAATATCACAATTTAGATAGGGTGGGTGGACGGGGTCTATATTTTGCATTTTTTTCTTATACATAGTATTCTTTGAACAACCCGACACTCAAAAACGTGTTTTTAATTTCTTGTAAAGAAATAAGTAATTTGCAGTTAAGCTCCGCCCCCTTAGGTCACGGCAAATAAAAAAATCATCACAATAGAGATAGGGCGGGTGGGCGGGCTGACATTTTGCCTTACTGTTTTAATATGTGTAGACGTCTTTTCAAAATATGAAACTTAAAACATGCTTAAAATGGAAAATTTGTAGATGGAAATATCGATTTTGCAATTACTATTTTAAATGTTTTCAGTTTCTTGTTATCGAGAAAAAACAACATATTAAGAAGAAAAACAAATGCGAAATATAAGCCCCACCCACCCACCCTGTCTATTGGGACGCTTTTTCTTTGTTCGTTGTAGTCATGGGGGGCCGAGCTTAATTGCAAAATCCGTATTTTTCTACAAAAATTACCATATGAAACATGGTGATGGGGTTGCTCAGAGAAGACTATATGTATTAAGTAAAAAAAAACAAGCCCCACCCATCCGTCTGGATCTCAATCGTGACTAATTTTCCATTCGTTGTCAGACTGAGGGGCGGAGCGCAATTACCAAATCCTTATTTCCTCATTGAAACACGTAAGTTTCTTGCTGCGACAAGAAAACTACGAATATTAAGTAAAAAGGGCAAAATATAAGCCCCGCCCACCCACCCTATCTCAATTGTGATGACTTTCTTTATTCATTGCTTACGCTGGGGAAGTAATTACCTTAAAATAGGGTGAAATTAAAAAAAAAATTATGTAAAAAATACCGTTTTACCGTCTACATGATTTTCATAATACACATATAAAATTTGACAACAATGGCTCAGACAGACAGACACGAGAAAACGTAAAATTAGAGACTCGATCGATGGATTCGATTACAATACTTCCTTCGCTTACATTTGGGAAATAATAAATTCGCAACATTAAATTTTTAATTTTTCGAAGAATTTGTATTTGCTCGCGTGTTTTTCAGAGACGAGGGAAGTTCTGTCTAAATAACTTTGGACCTTTTTTTTTGAAAGATTCGTAGCAAATTTAAGTTTATAGTTTTTGAAATCCCTGTAGCAATTTTCATTCATGTAGCAAAATCATCACAATCGAGATGGGGTGGGTGGGCGGGCTTTATATTTTACATTTTTTTCTTAATATTCATAGTATTTTTTGAATAACCCGTACTCAAACATATGTTTTTAATTTCTTGTCCAGAAATAAGTAATTTTCAGTTAAGCTCCGCCCTTTTGGTTCACGGCGAATAAAAAAAATCATCACAATGGAGACAGGGTGGGTGGGCGGGCTGACATTTTGCCTTACTGTTGTAATATGTGTAGACGTCTTTTCACAATATGACACTTAAAACATGTTTAAAATGGAAAATTTGTACAAGGAAATATCGATTTTGCAATTACTATTTTAAACATATTTTCAGTTTCTTATTATGGATAAAAAACAATATATTAAGACTCAATTGTGGCGCTTTTTCTTTGTTCGTCGTTAGTCAAGGGGGCAGAGCTTAATTGCAAAATTAGTATTTTTGTACAAGAATTACCATGGGAAAACATGGTGATGGTGTTGCTCAGAGAAAACTAAATGTATTGAGTAAAAACAAAACAAGGTAAGCCCCACCCATTCGTCTAGATCTCAATCGTGATGAATTTTCCATTCGTTGTTAGACTGAGGGGCGGAGCGTAATTATAAAATCCTTATTTCCTGTTTCTTTCACGTTTTAAGTTCCTTGTTGCGAAAATTACACTATGAATATTAAAACAAAAGCGTAAAATATAGTCGGCCCAGACAGACAGACCGACGGACAGACAGACAAGAGAAAACGTAAAAATGGAGAGTCGGTCGGGAAGTAATAAATTCGCAAAATTAAATGTTATAATTTTTCGGAGAATCTGTATTTGAACACACCACCATATTTAATGCATCGCTGTCTTAAACACGGAAAATGTGGAAGTGCCCTTTTTAATAGCAAACACATTGCATTAAGTAAGCTTACGATAAAGCAGGAAGTTAGTAAAAAATAAATTTATTCGAGCAAAAACAACGCTACAAACTTACCAAACACGTGTGGTAATTATTCAACATCTGCACAGCAGATAATATTTATACATGAAATTAATAATGTTCTCATGTAATTTACAAAAACAAATAACTTATTTACGGCAAAGAAATTCGACTACATTAAGAAATACGTATGTCGGGACTTGTTAGCCTTTGTTTTTCCATGAAGGTTGAAGGCTTTTTTTTTAAAGATGGTGTTGTGAAATCGTTAAAAGCGCCCGCTAATTTAATTTATTATGGGGACTTTCAACGATCTGGCAACCCCCGTGAAATATGTCTGAAATAAAGCGCAGTGTACAATGTTCTGTCTTGTTTATGTTGTGTAACATAACTCCACTATTCTTAGATTAATAAATATGGTAAGAAAGTTAGTGCAGTTGGTCGAAATAGTGTGTTCGAGCCACACACGTTGTCGTGACCATTGTAAATTTTGCAGGTTATGTCAGAAAATATAACAGCAGCCATTGCATTGAACGGCGAACTAGTAACAAATCAACCACTAATCAAAGCCATGAGAGTGGTAAAGAAAGAGACTTTAAAATTAATATCAGACTGGATATCGAGGACGCACGACCATGTCATGGTTTTGGAAAATTTCATACCTCCATTTTTAGATGCCGTATTACTAGACTATCAAAGAACGGCCGTGCCGTCGGCGAGAGAACCCGAAGTTCTCAGCGCTATAGCAACCATAGTTAACAAATTAGAAATGCACATAACATCAGAGGTAACCCCCACTTAACTTAAGCCACAATAATACTAACACTAAGTCATGTTGCTAGGTTCCAAAAATATTCGACGCCGTGTTCGAATGCACGCTCGCAATGATCAACAAAGACTTCGAAGAGTACCCCGAACACCGAACGAACTTCTTCCTCCTCCTGCAGGCCGTCAACAACTTCTGCTTCCCCGCCTTCCTCAGCATACCCCCGGCCCAGTTCAAGCTCGTGCTCGACAGCATCATCTGGGCGTTCAAGCACACGATGCGCAACGTCGCCGACACCGGCCTGCAAATTTTGCTCAAGCTCCTCCAGAACGTCGAGCAGTTCGAACACGCTGCTCCCAGCTTCTATCAAACGTACCTCACCGACATCCTGCAGCACGTGTTCTCGGTGGTCACGGACACGTCGCACACGGCCGGCCTGTCCATGCACGCCACCATCCTGGCGTACATCTTCTCGCTGGTGGAGGCCGGCAGGGTCAACTGCCAGCTGGGGCCGACGCCGAACAACGTGCTCTACATCCAGGAGTTCACGGCCACGCTGCTGCGCTCGGCGTTCCCGCACCTCACCGACAACCAGATTAAAATTACTGTGCAGGGGATGTTCAACCTGGACCAGGACATCCCGGCGTTCAAGGAGCATATGAGAGACTTCCTGGTGCAGATTAGGGTGAGTGTCTAGACGTAATTTGGAAAAATCGGGGGTTTATTTTAAATTTTAGGAGTACACCGGGGAGGACGACTCGGATTTGTACTTGGAGGAGCGCGAGAAGACGCTGCAGACAGCGCAGGCCGAGAAGCGCCGAATCCAGCTGTCGGTACCTGGAATCCTAAACCCTCACGAGGTCCCCGAAGAGATGCAAGATTAGCAGTCTAACTTGTAGAGAACTATTGTACACTAATAATCTAAATCTTATAATTTAGAACGATATTTTTGTATTTGTATCATCATAAACTACGCTGCATTGTTGTGTGCAGTCTCTAGCGAACGTGTTTTGTGCGAATTGGAATCCTGGAAATTGCTTTCTGTTTGATTTTTTTATACACAATATAATTTTAAGTAAAGTTGAATTTTCTTTGTACTGTTATACATGTTTGCATTTTTTTTTTTTTTTTTATAGGAAATGTAACTAAGCACAAATGTGAATGAGAGTCACTTGCGTTTAAGTTTGAATGTAGCCGTTTTTTTTTGTGAATGGATGATCGGCTTTGTGATTGTTTTAGATGAAGTTTACGTTTTATCAGTTTACTAAATGTTTAAATTGTAACATGAATTTAAGTACTTACTGTTTCAGTTAACAAGGTACACGCATTCATTGATCTAATAATTCGAATTTGATAGATGAAAAATTTGTACATTTTTATAACAAAACTTGTGTATAAAAAAGTATATATAAAAATAGACATTTCAGTTGTTTGCATTTACTATACAGTTATTTTTTCGTTCGTCAGTTTTTATATCTAGACTGCTGTATATAATGAAGCCATTATTTGGGTTGTGGTACGTTTGTTTTTAAGCAAATTTGCCAGATTTATTTATTACGTTCTTTTGTATCAGTATGTCAAAAGAAATACACTTTACATTATTGTATTAGAACTTAGTTGCGTTTTGTATAAATGCTTTTCAAATTGCTTTGTCAATCCATTGATATATTTTAGTCTATATATAACACTGTACCTAAGGGTGGAGTCCCAAGGTACAATGATCTGTAGTGTAGTTGTTAATAATTTGTGATCAATTTCAGTAATAAAATACACAAAACTGAAAGACTACAGAGATTTATTTTCCCTCGTTTATACTACACTAGGGGCCTTAACTCTTAAAAACAAAACAAAGAAGTTCCAGACATTTTTTCTTTCAAAAATAAAATATTGGGGTTCTAAGGACCCTTTTATATTATTAGACAAACACTAGGAGCCCTAAAAAAATGACCAAAAACACAATCGGAATTTTTCGAAAATATTACGTCGTTATCATGACACCCTATATTTCTGGAATCAGCACGTCAAGATCTATAACCGTGAATTTTTTGAGAATTTTCTGACGACTTTTAATATATGAAATTTTCCACGCTCTTACGCAAATTGGGACCCATTTTGGACGAGTTTCGAAATTTAACTGAACATTTTCTTGTAGATTTCGGCCTCATGTCTTTGATAACTTTAATTGTTTTTTCAAAATCGCCCATTGAAATCTGTAAACCTGAATTTGTTGAGAATTTTTAGACGACTTTTTAAAAAATGGAATTTTTCGCTATGAAATCGACGAAATTGGCGAAATTGAAATTCACGAAATCCGCGAAATTTATAAAGTCCGGAAAATTTCGAAAATTCTGCAAAATTCAGTAATTTCCGAAAATTCGGCAAATTTAGAAAATTCCGCAGGAAATTGAAAAACTTCAAACAATTCACAAAATTTGGATAATTCAGAAGTTGAAGAAATTTACGATATTCATGAAATTCACGAGATTTACGAAATTTACAAACTATAAAATTCACGAAATTCGCCAAGTTCAGGAAATTTACGAAGTTCATAAAATTCGTAAAATTCATGTAATTCACGAAATTTACGAAATTCACAAATCCATAGACTATAAAATTCACAAAATTTGGGAAATTCGAACAATTTCGAAAATTCTTCAAAAATTCAGTAATTTCAGAATTTTCGACAAATTTGGAAAATTCAAAAAATTCTGCAGAAAATATAAAAGCTTGAAACAATTCACAAAATTTGGATAATTCAGAAAATTCAAAAAATGCGTAGAGTTCAGACAGTTTAAAAAGTCAAGTCATAAAATACAGAAAATTCATGAAATGTAAATTTCGACCCATTTTGACGATTTTTGAAATTTAACTAAATACATTTTCTTGTAGATTTCGGACCCCAGGTTACTACCGGCCTCACTTTTTCGATAACTCCAACCGTTTTTCCATCATCACCCGTTGAAATTTCGAAATTTTTAAAAAATTTCAAAAAATTCGTATTTCGCTCCAAATATTTCGAAAATGTTGATTTATTTTTGGCATTAGCACGCCATGATATATAAACCTGAATTTTTTAAGAATTTTTAGACGACTCTTCCAAAAATGAAATTTTCTACTATGAAATTGACGAGTCAATTCGCGAAATTCACAAAATTTGGAGAATTTGGAAAATTCGGAAAATTTGGAAAATTCTGCAAAATCTCAGAAAATTCAGCAAAACTTCAGTGAATCCAGAAAATTTAAAAACTTCAAACAATTCACAAATTTCGGAGAATTCCAAAAAGTTCAGAGTTCAGTTTAGAAAGTGAGAAAGTTTCATAAAATTCATTAAATTCGCGAAGTCAGGAAGTTTGCGAAATTTACGAAATTCATAAACTTTCTAAAATCCATGAAATTCGCGAAATTCTCCAAATTCACGAAATATACGAAAATCACACTTTATTAAAATTCATGAAATAAGGAAATTCACGAAATTTACGATATTTACAAACTTTATGAAGTCTATGAAATTCGCGAAATTCACCAAATTTACAAAATTTAGAGACTGGAAAATTCGGAAAACTTCTAAAATTATGCAAAAATTCAGTTAATTCAAAAAATTATGCAAAAATTCAATAAATCCAGAAAATTTTAAAACTTTCTACAACTCACAAAACTCAGAGAATTCAGTAAGTTTCATAAAATTCACGAAATTCGCGAAATTTAAGAAATCCATAAACTTTATTGAAATTCATGAAATTCACGAAATTAGGAAATTCGCGAAATTCACGAAATTTACGATATTTACAAACTTTATAAAATCCGTGAAATTCGCGAAATTCACCAAATTCACAGAATTAAAAGAATTTGGAATATCTGGAAAATTTCGAAAATTATGTAAAAATTCAGTAAATTCAAAAATTATGTAAAAATTCAATAAATCCAGAAAATTTAAAAACTTTCGACAATTCACAAAATTCAGAGAATTCAGAAAGTTTAGAGAGTTAAGAAAGTCAGAAAGTTTAAAAAAATTCAGGAAATTCCCGAAATTTACGAAATCCATAAACTTTATAAAATTCATGAAATTCACTAAATCAGGAAATTCGCCAAATTCACGAAATTTGCGAAATTCATGAACTTCATAAAATCCATAAAATTCGTGAAATTCGCCAAATTCACAAAATTTAGAGAATTTGGAAAATTTGGAAAATTTCGAAATTTCTACAAAAATTCAGTAAATAAAAAAAATCAGCAAAAATTCAATAAATCCAGAAAATTTAAAAACTTTCGACAATTCACAAAATTCAGATACATAATTCAGAAAATTCAGAAAGTTGAGGGTTCAGAGAGTTTAGAAAGTCAGAAAGTTCCATAAAATTCACGAAATTTACGAAATTCATAAACTTTATTAAAATTCATGAAATTCGTAAAATTCATGAAATTCACGAAATAAGGAAATTCGCGAAATTTACGATATTTACAAACTTTATAAAATCCATGAAATTCGCGAAATTCACCAAATTCACAAAATTTAGAGAACTTGAAAATTCGGAAAATTTCGAAATTTCTACAAAAAGTCAGTAAATAAAAAAAATCAGCAAAAATTCAATAAATCCAGAAAATTTAAAAACTTTCGACAATTCACAAAATTCAGATACATAATTTAGAAAATTCAGAAAGTTGAGGGTTCAGAGAGTTTAGAAAGTCAGAAAGTTCCATAAAATTCACAAAATTCACGAAATTTACGAAATTCATAAACTTTATTAAAATTCATGAAATTCACGAAATAAGGAAATTCGCGAAATTCACGAAATTTACGATATTTACAAACTTTATAAAATCCATGAAATTCACCAAATTCACAAAATTTAAAGAATTTGGAATATTCGGATAATTTCGAAAATTATGCAAAAATTCAATAAATCCAAAAAATTTAAAAACTTTCGACAATTCACAAAATTCATAGAATTCAGAAAGTTTAGAGAGTTCAGAAAGTCAGAAAGTTTCATAAAATTCTCGAAATTTATGAAATCCATAAACTTTATAAAATTCATGAAATTCACTAAATCAGAAAATTCGCCAAATTCACGAAATTTGCGAAATTCATGAACTTTATAAAACCAATAAAATTCGCGGAATTCGCCAAATTCACAAAATTTAGAGAATTTGAAAATTCGGAAAATTTCGAAATTTCTACAAAAAGTCAGTAAATAAAAAAAATCAGCAAAAATTCAATAAATCCGGAAAATTTAAAAACTTTCGACAATTCACAAAATTCAGATACATAATTCAGAAAATTCAGAAAGTTTAGGGTTCAGAGAGTTCAGAAAGTCAGAAAGTTCCATAAAATTCACAAAATTCGCGAAATTTACGAAATTCATAAACTTTATTAAAATTCATGAAATTCACTGAAACTGGAAATTCGCCAAATTCACGAAATTTGCGAAATTCACGAACTCTGTAAAATCCATAAAATTCGCGAAATTCACCAAATTCACACAATTTAGAGAATTTAGAATATTCGGAAAATTTCGAAAATTCACCAAAAATTCAATAAATAAAAAAAATCAGCTAAAATTCAATAAATCCAGAAAATTTAAAACTTTCGACAATTCACAAAATTCAGATAATTCAGAAAGTTTAGGGTTCAGAGAGTTTAGAAAGTCAGAAAGTTCCATAAAATTCGCGAAATTTACGAAATTCATAAACTATAAAATTCATGAAATTCACGAAATCAGAAAATTCGCTAAATTCACGAAATTTACGAAATTCATAATTCATAAACTCAAATCCATAAAATTCGCAAAATTCGTCAAATTCGCGAAATTCACGAAATTTAAGAAATTCATGAAATTTATGAAATTCGTAAAATTCGTAAAACTAATGAAATTCGCAAAATTCGAAAAATTTCGAAAATTTTACAAAAATCCAGTAATTTCAGAAAATTCGACAAATTCGGAAAATTCAGAAAATGGTGGAGAAAATTTAAAAGCTTCAGACAATTCACAAAATTCGGATAATTCAAACAATTCAGAGAGTTCAGACAGCTTAGAAAATCAGAAAGTCTCGTAAATTCACAAAACTCGCGAAATTCACGAAATTTATAAACTTTTTAAAATTTGCGAAATTGACGAAATTTGTATAATGCATAAAATTCATGAAATTTACGAAATTTATGAAATCATGAAATTCGCAAAATTTACCAAATTTAAAAAATTCATGAAATTCAGAAAATTACGAAATTCGTAAAATTTGTGAAATTCAGGAAATTTGCGAAATTCCCACAGTTCACGAAATTCGCAATATTCAGAATTCAGTAAATACAGAAAAACTAAAAACTTCAGACAGTTTACAAAATTCGAATAATTGAGAAAATTAAGTAAGTTCAGACAATTTAGATACATAAAATTCTGAAAATTCCTAAAATTCACGAAATGCACGAAATTTACGAAATTCATTAACTTTCTAAAATTTATGAAATGCATAAAATTCGTTAAATTCGCAAAATCACCAAATTCGAGAAATTCACGAAATTTACCAAATTCGCGAAATTCACGAAATTTACAAAATCCGGATAATTTAGAAAATTCAGAAAGTTCATGGTTCAGACAGTTTAGAAAAACAAAGTTTCTTAAAATACTGGTGCAGATTAGGGTGAGTGTCTAGACGTAATTTGGAAAAATCGGGGTTTTATTTTAAATTTTTGGAGTACACCGGGGAGGACGACTCGGATTTGTACTTGGAGGAGCGCGAGAAGACGCTGCAGACAGCGCAGGCCGAGAAGCGCCGAATCCAGCTGTCGGT